TCTTTAAACCTTCATATCTTATTCATAATAACTTGGATTTATATGTTTCTTATGTCATCAAAAAGATAATAAAATTAAATATCTAAAAATTTATTTTTTATTTTTTATTTTTTATTTAATAAAAATCTAGTAAATAGACTATAACTAAATATTGAAGAATGTATTTGCTCGAATATATTTCTTCCTCTTATTTTGTGGTTGCACTTCTTTTATTCTTGTTATTTACTTATCTCACTTTACACCACCAATTATAAGAAATTATTAATTGAAGCCATCTTATAATTTGAATTCAAGGATAAAATTTATCCTCATAATTTTGCATGAAAGATTGTAAACATTTGACTACACATCTAGATTTTAAGAGCAAATTGTCAAATGACATGAATCCAAAGACTCCTAAGAAAAGTAAAGTAATGAAAGACATTCCATACCAAAGTATAATTAGCAGCTTAGTTTATGCAATGATAGGCTTTTGAGCCAATATTACATATATAATAGGAATTATTAACCAATACATAGCGAATACTAGTCTACAAAATTGAATTGCCGATTTTTTGATATTTAAAAGGCATGTTGAATTATATGCTATAATATAGTAGAAATTCTACAAATTTGTAAGTGATTGGTCACTACAATACACATTATGCATAAGATATTGACACTTAATTTTTTATTATTAGATATATATTTTTATTGGCTAATGGTATTACAAATTAGAACAAAAAAAAAACCAACAACTGCCTTATCTACCATTAAAGTACAATATATGGCAATTACTCATGCAACAAAAGAAGCAATTCAGCTTTATAAGTTATTTAAAGATATTAAGTTTTTACAAGGTGGTCTTATGATTATTTTTGGTGATAACTAGATTTGTATTTCTCTTTTAAGAAATCCTATATTCCATGATTCTACTAAATAAGTTGAAATTTAATATCACTTTTTTTGTAAAAAGATTGAAAATGGTGAGATTAACTTAATTTTTTGAGGAAATAAGACATGGTTGTGGATGTTTTGACCAAAGGTCTAATTCATAAGAAGCATTATAAATTCAAGGAAATATTGAGAATTATTAAATTGAATTAGTCTAATATGCCATTAAATAGAAATATTAAAAGAGAATTTATATACATATGTAATTTCTATTAGATATTATGTGATTACATATGTGATGGTTGAAATTATATTATTAGTTGACAACTTGTAGCCGCTATACTAGTCAATAGTCAATATATAGTTATTGCCACCTACAAAGCCCTTTTGCAGCCTAATAAGACAAGTGTCAATATGTTAGTTGGATCTCAGCAGCTAAGCTAGTTATTAGTCTATTCATACTAAAAATTCCATGTGAATAGACCATAGACTTGTACTATTAGAACTAAAATCTGAGGTTCATTTCAAGTGTATAGTTTTCTTGAATCCTTGATAATTAAATAGTGAGCTCATATATATTTTGTATCATTATACTTCTATCCTATAGCAATACTTACCTCATATTTTTTGACATTATTTATTAAATAGAAGACCTAAGATTGAAATTATTTTTTTTTTGGTAATTTTCTTATCTTTTAGTCTTAATTTGATATTTATTTATATTTTTGTATTTTAGAATAATCAATTTAATGACTTCTTATCTTAAAAATATATATGTTCTTGTTTTGTTTCTTTAATCAAATTTTATATGATTACTTTATCTTTAATTGATATTTATATATTTATATTTTATATATAATATTATAAATAAATAAATAAATAAAAATTAATTTAAAAATATAATAAATTTATTATAAATATAATAAGTTTTTATTAAAATATATATTAGAAAATAAATATGTATATATTTATATAATAAGAAATCTTAGTTGTAAGACAAAGAGATAAAAAGCCTTCTTATTAGCCAATTGGTTGAGACAAATAAATTGTCTTGGTGGCCAAAAACATATGTTATCTTTTAATAATTTAAAAATTTATGTTGCCTTTGTAAAAATACAATAAATATTCTTTATTCCAAAAATTATGAATCTATAAATTCTACAAAAAATATAGTTTATTCTAAAACTTTATTAAATTACTTATTTTAACTATTGAAGTAATAAAAAATTGACTTTGCTAATAATACTAAAAAAAATGGTTCAATTGTTTTTTATTTTAATTAGGATTTTTTAAAATTGGTGCTTTTCTAGAAGTAATTGATTTTTGATTTATAATATTAAATATTATAGCTTATTTGTACCTAAATTTAGCTATTATATAATTTTAATTTTTAAGGATGTCATTGACACTCAAAAGACTACAGAAGATAATAAGTATATGCATTTCAACATTTTTACAAGCAAAAAATAAAAATACGTGATATATATATATATATATATATATATATATATATTTATATTCATTATTTTTTAGAAATTGTTAAAACGTTTTGCTGATCATGATCATGAAATTGATTTTTGCATTAAATTATGAAGTTTATGAAATTTATGAATCTAAAATGAAAACTGATTCTTTTTACTTTTTGAGGACATTCAATTGAATAATTTTTGGAAAATAACCAATTTTATTTAAAATTTTATATTAAGATAAATGAATCAATTTTTTTACAAGTGCCAAATATGCTAATAAAATTAAAGAAATTTATATTAAAATCCAATAGATACAAACACGTATGGTGATTTCTTAAATTTCAAGTTTATCTTAGAGGAGTTGCAATTCCTACTTTAGGTCATCTTTCAAACTTTAAAAAATAATTTTCAATTTGATTTGCATTCATATCCATCAGGACATGGATTATATTAAAGAAATAAAACAAACTTGCATTTATCATATCAAAATCATGTAGATTTGAAAATAAATGTAATTTTAATTCTTAATGTTGGAAATGTGACATGCAATTTTTTAATACATATCAAGCTTGCTTTCTTCACTGTAATATTTTCCTGAACCATAAATAACACAAAAATATAAGTACACTATTCTTCTTTAATATTTTATTAGTTGAAAATATTTATGCACTTTGTTCGCCATATAGAAATTATGAAAAATATTTTTAGTTTAATTTCATTTCATTTAATCAAAAAAAAATGTCTTGGTTTGAGAAACACAAAATCACAAAGACATTGTAGAATGCAATTAATTGTATGGCTTCCTTACTTCAGCAATAAAATCAAGGATTTACAAAAAACATTCAAAACTTATTTTAAGCATCAACGTGTTGCACAAACCAATTCATTGAATCATAGAAAAGTGAAGATTATGAACATATATATATATATATATTGTAAAAAACTATAAATTACATGCAATCAAGTTTTGATATTTGGTGTTGTAAATTATTGTGAAAACAAAAAAGAATTTGCAAAACAAGTGTGCACATACAATAACAAGGGGCATGATAACAAAGATAATAACAATAATCATAATAATATGGGGCAGTCAAAGGAGGCATGTGGGAAGTGCTGCTTTTTAAAAATTCTTTTAACTTACCTATTTAAGTTGTTGTAGTAAATAAGAATTACATTTGCAAATAACAGTAAAGAAACATGAATGGTTCTATTATTGTGAGTATAACTCTTCCTTTTTTTCTTTTTTTTCTTGGTGAACATTTGTTTTTTTTAGAAGTGATTGGTTTTTGACTTGGAAACCACATTTTTTTTTTTTTTTTTTTTTTTTTTTTTTTCCAAATTTTCCATGCCCAATACCATGGAATTCCACTAGTAGTATATATATTAAAAATGATATGTTATTTCTCAAATTGTTTTTGTGCAAGATAAAACAAAATCCTATCTAAGTCCAATAGATTTTCAAATAAACTTTAAAGACTACAATATTGTTAAAAAAAATACTATTTATTTATATATATATAGATATATATATATATATATATATTTATTTATTTATTTATTTATTGGATAACATACAATGTAATTATTTAAAAAATATTATACACATATGTTTATGAAATACCAAAAGCAAACCAAACTGAAGTAAAATCTACAGTTATTTAATTTTCAGTAATCAATGTTATAATACAAACTTGTGCCTTCACTACAAATTTATACAAGTAGCTTCTTTCAATGTACAAGAACAGAAATGTACCACGTTATCACAATACAGGGTATAAGTTTGACAATAAAGCTACAAAAATATTGTATTTAATGATTTAAAACATAAAAATAATTCAAAAAAAGACCTCTACCATTATTTTCAAGATTAAATTTTGAATATTTAGATGATGCAAGCTGAAAAAATGGCTACATAAAAACTAAATGAGAAACTTTAAAATATTAATTTTTTAAACTTATATGTGATTGTGTCCATGTACATAGTAATCAAATAAGTTTATACATATATACATAAGTATAGTAAAATTATATTTAAAAAAAATGAAATTCTATTCAATATATAATACATTAAAATTTCAAATCCTACGGATAAAATTTTGATATATAGGAAAAAAACGAATTACATGATAACTCCGGGGAAATAAATTTACTTTGATTTTACAATGTTATTCTTATTCTAAAAATTATATATATAATATGTTAGGCTACAGATACATGTATCTTAATTCCTTTAGAATAACACGTGATGTTTTTTTTGTAGTACTTATTCAGACTTTTGAAAGTATTGAAATATTATAAATTGTGCTAATTATACTATCAATTTTTTTTTATTATAAAATAGAGTATATAAAATAAAAATAAAATATATTTAAATTAAACATCATTTATAAAATCATTTATAATTCATGAATTAGTAGATTTTACAAAGTAGCAAGGTCCATGTTCAGAAACAGAGGATAGGGTGTGGGGAATTCAAAGACAAACCCCGATGACCAGAGTTGAAGCAGGGAGGTCAATCAGGGTATTTGTAAAGGCGGGTATCAAGGGGGAGGGGAGGCGAGGATGGCAGGGTATGAAGTATAGGGGTGGGGTGGGGACATGCTCGTCCCTGCTGGTCTTCGTCGTCGTCCTTGCGTATGTGTGCGGAAACTTGCGATGATCACTCCCACCAACGAATGCTTGCAAAGCTCCTCTCTGTGGGATCTCTCTCCGTCTTCCTCTCTCTGTGTGTGTATGTGCGTGCGAGTCTCTCTCTCGCCCCCTCCCCTCTTCTCATTCAACACCCTCTCTCTCACCTTCTCACCTTTTCTTCAAATTCCGCCGTTCTGTGCTTCTTCGTCCTGCCGTATCCTCTCTCTCCTTCCTGCCAACGCATGCTCTTCCTCTCTCTCTGCGGTGCGGGCATCCACCTTCACTTCTGCTCGCAACTCCGACGAATCATATCTAACCCTCTCGTCTCCCATTGTCATTGATGAAGCTTTTTATCGAAGTTGAGATTAGTCCCGATGAGATCCCCCTAGCAGCGGAGCTCTTTCGCACCTTACGGTACTGCGTCACCCCTTCTCCCTACATCCTGGTCGGGAATGTGTGCGTCAGTCTTCTGAGATTGCAGCTGATGGGACCGAGAGGCAGCGGGAAGTAATTGGCGTTTGAGTCGTGGTAGTGGTGGAGGAAGGAGGCATAAGGCTAGGGTTTTGACGAGTAATACTTGGGTTTGGTAGGTAGGGTTTTAGTGAATTAGAGGAACGGAGAATTAGTGGTCTTTGCAGGTGTTAGCCAGAGTTTGTGTGGAGTCTTGGCTAGCTTTGATACAGCAGTCTTGTCCCAGATGTTTAATCCCTGGTTGTTGATTTAGGATTTTTTTGTTTGTTTTGTTTTGTTTTGTTTGTTTGTTTGTTTGTTTGTTTTTGTTTTGTTTTGTTTTGTTTTTTTTCTTTCAGCGTACGATTCCATGTGAATGAGTAAGCATGAGTGTGTATCTGCATTACTGTTGTGTTTTTGGTCAGTAAATAATTTCTGTAAGGGAGCGAGTGACCAAGTTGGGCTGCGAACAATGCTCTCTGTCTTATCCAGTGCTCAAATGGGTTGTAGGAGAAGAGTAGATTATCTTCAATTCTATACTGTTGCCGAATATCTTGTCCATTGTATAACCTCATAGTAATGACGCTACTTAGTGTAAAACATAGTTGTATATTAGGTCGCATAAATCGCTTTCGCTCATGGTTAATAGCATTATGTGGAAGATTAGACTCCTATATAAGCTACATTTGTTATTTGAGTTTTTTTATGGAAGTCAACCCTGATGTGTAATCACATTTTTCTGACTGGTATACAAGCCTGATTTTCGAGCTTTTTTTGTAAGGTCTCAATTCTTTTGTAGTGCTGTATATTGCGATTACGAATTTCAATATGCTTGCGTGTCCCTAGCTGTCTGTGATTGCGAAGATTCCCATTGAAGCTCTGAATTTCTACCGGAAACCTGATTGTTATTTGAATTGGCATCAGGGCATTGACGGATCATGTAAAAACACGGGACCTATGTAGGCTTTTTCAAGCTCTCATTTCGAAGCTGGAGGATGGCAATCAGCTCGATCGAGTGTCGAACGAAGTTGCAACTCTTCTTACAGATACAATGTCATTTGAAACGGTTAGCACCCTATTTCTCTATTTAAAGTGGCGTGGTAGTTTTCTACTTAAGTATCTTTTTTTTTTTTCTTTTTTTTTTTTGCAGTGTGTACCTATCTCATCGTTGCATGGTTTTCTGATGGAAAAATACAGCATTTGGCAGGCTTCTAAGCCGGTAAACAGTAATCTAAATGAATGTATTTGGAAACGTCAGTTTGCTGTACTGATGGATAGCATCGAAAGAGTGTATTAACCTGCTCTGTAACAATTTAAATATAAAGTATATCAGGTGAAACCATTAGGTACTATTGCAAGCGATTCGAGGGAGGTTGCGACGTTTTGGGCCCTAGTATTGAACTTAGTGCGGGTTTCTGGACCTGAATTTGCAGACTTTGGAAGAGTTTCAAGCAGCTTTTGTGGCGGTAGTCTTCAGCCATGATTTGGTCTTGCGACAACAAAGTGTGGTGCCATTTATGTTCCTCTTGCCCAGGTCGGCTGAATGATATCCGTGAATTGGATCTTCTTTTGAAATTCATGGTTGTCAAACGCTTGCGATGACTAGGCAGAAGAAGATTTTGAGATTAGGCCATTGAACTTTGATGTGGAAAAAAAAAAAATCGGATATCTTTTTACGACAACTAAATTATCATGTCTTAGTAATTTGATGCAATTTTTGTTATTCTAGTAGTGAAGGTAAGTGTAAAGCAAGTATGATGTTCCAATTTCCATTGCAAAGTGTCTATTCTTATCATATTGCTGGTTAAGTTTTGCTTATTTTATGAAGCAGGGATGTGTTTCTCGTCAACGATTTCAGTGTAGCTAATTGTATCGTTACATGTGGTAACTTCGTCCTATTTTACAGACTACCAGATCTGGCAAAATCTCGAATGCGAGATTTTCTTATTCCTAAGGTATTTACTTTTTATCTGGTATGCCTTCTTTTGGGTGTTGGTTATGTCGTAGTTATTTTAGGAATTATGAAGTCTGTACAACGCATTGCTGGTAGGTGGTAATCTCGTCCCTGACAAGAGTGGACTCTTGATATTGATGAAAGGAGTTAACTATATTTTTTATGTGCCTTCCCTGACAATGACTCCAACATTATGAATATCCCTAATAGCATTCTACATCTAGTTACGATGTTACCATATCACTTACAATGTTGCTTGCATCGTTGTTCATTTACTATGAATTGTATGTATTGACAATGTTGGATGGTGCACTTAAAGGTGTTGAAGCATTTGACACTCAAAAGGCCAGTGGAGGCCAGTCGCATGGAATTTTTCGCTCATGCGGAAGCTTTTGCAGCTCTTGTCAATTTGGAATTTGTTTCAATAAACGGTGTGTTCAAGAATGCCTTACTTTCTTTTCTTCATACGTACGCGCTCACTCACACGGACTCACGCACCCCACACCCCACCTTAGCTTGCTTTTCTTTCTTTCTTCTTTCCTACTTCTTCCTCTTCTCTCGCTCTCACGCTCTATGGGTTATAAGTCAGGTGCAGAATATCTCTAACCACACCATGTGTGTGTGTGTGTGTTCTGAAGCTCGCACTTAAAGTACATCTTTTGAAATAAAGTATTTTGTGTGTTTTTTTTGGTTTTTTTTGTTTTTCGCAGGGGCTTTAACCACAATTATCACTTTGCTAAGAAAACCAGAGACGCGGTGTGCTGCAGTTACTATGCTTGGGAAGACCGTAGAATTGTGTTTGCAGCAGGTAGATGCCAATTCTGTAGTGGATTTCACTGTCAATTCCTTCTGATTGTGCCGTATGGTTCTCTCTCTCGCATACTTAGTTTGACACGATCTGTGTGAGTCAGAGAAACGTCCAATATGATTTTATTGAGAATTAATCGATTGATTTGCAGTTGACGGAAAATTGCGACCCCAGTACACTTCAAGATCTAAATACTGCTTTACAAAATGTAACGGAAGACGCATTTCAGTGAGTATGCTTCCATTTTTTACTTCTATTTTTGTTTAGTGCTGTTTAGTTTTGTTTTGGGTGTCCAAAACTCTTTATAAATAATAGCCTATATTTCATTCACGAAATGTGAGTTAATGCGGTACCTACAACTCTTTTTGGGCTGGAGATACAAAAACGAAGCAATTCGATTTTATGTATTTTTTAAGGTCTATTCTACTCTAGGATTGAGAGTGCCTTCATAGCACATGTTTCACCGATTTGATATTAAAATTTAAAAGGGGCGCGACCATTGTTTGGGTCCTGTCCTTATGCTTTTGCATAACAGGTATGACATCAACTATATAGAAGAAAGTATGGGATGGAGTCGTCCTTTACATGGGATAGGAGGTTCACACGATGTATCAAGCTCTGCCTCTCTGTCAACACAAGGAGATTTAAACAAGGGAATGGCGATGGATTCCTCATCTGCATCTTTTGGTATGTTAAGAAAATGTTATCACCAATTCTAATTTGTTCTATTGTGACTGTTTCTTGAAAATATTGTATCATAGAGAGAAATCATCTCTGATAATGAGCACTAACTTTCGATTACGTAAAATTTAGAAGTGTAAGAGGAGCTCAAATATACCTGGTTGTTTCATTTGACAAACTTGTAGGACCTGTCATCTCATTAGCAGTTTTGAGTTGACCTGCACATTTGAGAAAGTAGAAACAGAAAATTCTCTCTATAGTTCCTTTCTGTAGTTTTGAAAAACAGAACACACTAAAATACCAACGTGTGTATTATATAATTTCAAACGTGTTCTCTTTCTACCAAGAACCTTGACCGTAAACCCTAAACCGTTTTTTTCTTAGACGACGAACTCATGATCAGACAGTTAATATCGTAGGAAGAAAAACTTATTGGAATTTTTCTTGAGGGAACTTAATGTCCTTAACATGGCCCCCTGATGGGTGATAAACTATCCGAACACCTGGAAGTACCTTACGAGTACAGTACCTATTTTGATATGCACTCTCGTAGATTGGGACTCTGACGTACCAAATGAGGATCAAACATTCTACAGGGAGGATTACATTATTAAGGACTTGTTTCCTTGGTCCTGTGCATTACTTTCGAAGCATTGAAATATAATTTCCGAGATTCGAACATGGACTGTTTGGCTCGTAAGGTCCCCTTTACTTATGCTAGGTCCTCGGCGTTGTTCCGTACTAATCTGTTCAGTCTGAGCTCTCAAACGCGTCGGAGTGAAGGAATTTTTAGCTTTTATAGATTTCTGCGAAATTTGTAGCTCAACTCTTATATATTTAACCTTAAAACTTAAGCTTCTATACTGTAACGTGATGACCAATTAGGAAAGACTATTCATTTGCAATGCATCCACTGTTTGCCACACGGATAGATTTGATTGGGGCAGCGAGTGACATCAGGTAGAGGCGCTTCAAGGTAGATTAATGTTGCATGTATTCCTAATTGTATGCTAGAACGTGTCTCATAATTTGTGTGGCATATTAGAGTAATAAAATAGGATGAATTGTCTTAATAACATGAAATCAATTGTTTCTTACTGTTGCTAATAAGTTATATTGTGAAACCTCCTTCAGTGGAGTTTCTCATCCATGAATCGGGACAGTCGTCGTGACAGACGCTTGTGTGTTACTAATCAGGTTTTGGGTTGTTTTCAGGTCTACATGCGGTGGAGTCGTATTCTGGCCATCGAAATACCATCTTTGCCATGTCCTATGGTATGTGTTTTTTCTTATTTCAGTGTCTATAATATTAATATCTGCACATTTTAAGGTGTGCTTGATCATGTATGTTCCTCGAATGAGTAAACACACACACACACACACACATTCCGTCAGATTGTTTTTTAATCAGTTGAAAATATGTGTTCATATATCAAGCTGGTGCTTTTGGTGAATGTTCTCATCAAATTTTTGTCCAATTTCTGTCAAATTTCTCACTAAGTTTCATGGGGATAATCTTTCAGATGATAAACGCAATCAGCTGATTAGTGGTGGGAAGGATGGTACACTGATTGTGTGGACATCGGATGGACAGGTGATCCGGATTCTGTTTTAAAGTTCTGCAACTTTTCGTTAAGATGGTGATGTATTCCTTCTGCGTTTCTTCAATTCTCGGTCTTATACAGCGAGTATCAAATAACGATCGAATCTGTCTAACCAGCAATGCTATGAGTACTGAGAATACGCAGTGCATCTGCTGTTCTAAGTTTAGGATCTCGTGAACAGATGAAATAATATTTGGTTACTGATCACATTCTGTCCTGTTGCTTTGTTTGTGGGGTATACAGGTTGCTGAAAAAGTAGATATGGCTCGTCACTATGCTTGTTCAATGGATATTCACTCTTCTTATCAGACATTACTAGTCTGTGGGGTAGCCAAGGTTAGTTGAAGGTTACTAGTTTTGTATAATATTTTTAGGTTTAAGTTGTTCACGTGTTTGACTTCTATTTATAAGTTTTTTGGAATTCTATTCTATATTCTCGGCATGTGTTTTGGCTGCTAGTTTTGTGGAATTCATCTTAGAAGTATGTTTGTTTTATCATTCTGACGGCTTAATTTTCTTTTGGTCAAATAATGCTGCATAATGTTGAGGCAGTTTTGCTTAAAGAATGTTGGTTCAGAAAGAAATCAGAAAAAATGACTCAGGTTGTCACATGTTGCAGGAGGAAAATTCTGGATCAGGTAGTAATCGGATGTTACCGCCACCCTGCATCCATCGGTATGCCGCAGTAGGTCGCTGTTGGAAGGAGCAGGGGGTGCTCTCGAAAGATTCTTCTAAGTTGGTCTCCTGTATCAAGGTAAAGACTCTAATTTTCGAATGTCTTGCAATCAATCTTTTTATGGTGAACATTTCAAGTCTGTCAGCTTGTGCTCCGAGGGTCGTTCATTGCAAACGACGGATGTCTGCTGACAGATTTATGGTGTCCTCATTCTTTTTTCAGTTTTAAGATTGTCTTGGTATGACGTCTTATTCCCTACAGATATTGCTCATAGAGTTGGTGACTTGCAATCTGAATTTTCATGTTCTTTTTGTGTCCAGGCTTTGGGAGGCGTAGAACATGCTTTTGTCACAGGCGAGACTTTTCACACATCATCACATGAAGGGTAAGTTTCCCTCTAGATTACTTAAACCTGATTTGTTTCACAAGCCTCTCTCATTGCAAAGTGTTAATCTTGAAATATGGGTTTCTAGCAGGGGTGGACCTCGGCTCGATGAGCGTGTATGTTATTATGACATCAACACCACTTCTTCATTTGGTAACTTACAACCGGTTCGACAGTACACGGAACATGAGGTATAGTATATTTTGATGCTCTATCATGCTGACAGTCCTTGAGAATTGGTCGTGATTGTGATAATATGCAAGTGCAGGTTTTTAAGCTTGTGCAACTCTTTGTTCTTTATATTTTAATTATGATAACCACAAGTTCAGTAGTTCTTTCCATTCTGTGATTCAGCCGAATTTTTCCTTTTAACACTCGTCTTGGATGTGGTATTTTTTAGGATTTGATTACTTGCGTGTCGCTGTTTCCACCAAATCATAATCTGTTTATGTCGGGTTCGCGAGATTCCTCTGTCCGTGTCTGGGATCGACGTGTAGAACGTTGTGTTGGTTAGTAATCTCATTAAATTTTTTTGTAAGATTGCTTCGGTTTACTATCTGTTAACAATTGTTGCAATTTGTATGGCTCAAATCTTGTAGTATGTAAGCGTCATCATTATATACTACAGAAATTTAGAAGATAATTGAACTTGTGACATTCTACAGGAATGTTTGGAAGTATGCAAAAGAATGGACGTGTGCAGGCTCACGATTCAATGATAACATGTCTAGACGCAATTGATACCAACCTTATTCTCTCTGCTGGAATGGACACACGAGTGTTGCGCTGGGATTTCAGATTACTGGCTAACTCGGCAAGCAATTCCATCCCTCCGCGTTGCTTTGATTTCATTACAATGTTTGATGGTTCTATTTACCTTATCTTTTTTTCTTTTTTGTTTTGTTTTGTTTCTTTATCCTCTATTTCTTGAGTATTGGTGAAACCATAATGATTTTGTCATGAACAGACTATTATTGTGGCTAAGTTGTGATTCATGTATTGTGATTCTCTGTGATAGCGTCATTAGGCTTCAAGGTGTTCCATATATGATTTAGTTTAAACATATGTCCTTTATATCTGTTTCTTCATTTCGTATAATTACACATTTTTTTATTCATTTTCACTTTTTACATAATTGCCAAAAGCATTATCTGTATTCGTCAGGATCTGCTTGTAGTATAATTCGAAGTGCATCGGTAGAAGCTTTTAAACACGAAGCGTGCGGTTGAGAACTGTTTAAATGTTCTAAAATGAGTACATTTTTGGGTGATTGTTGTCAGGGAGGATGTGCACCCGTTTCTTCACTTCAGCTTGATGATAGTGCAGTTTTGAAGGTTTCTTTGGGAGGTGGTGCAAGTTCCGCTGCCGTTAGTACCTTACGAGGACTCTACTTCGTGGACTTTTCAAGTGCCAGGCCAGTTGCACGGTCTGCGGAGCCATTCAAAGATGGTCGACGGATTGGAAGATATCACGACTTGAAGTGGGCTAATGGCAGAAGTCTCTTGTATGCTGCAGGTGATGACATGCGTATTGATGTTTACTCTCTGCGTTGAAGCAAGATGAGCATTGATCTTTTAGACTTAATGAAAATCCTATTTACTGCCTTAAGCTTACAATTGGAGCTCAGCCTGTCTTTTTCTGTAATTTATCTGGAGTTATCATTTGTTTGTGATTCGTGTATTTGACTAGCAATAAGATTTTGCATGAGACGACTTGCAAACCCAGCTAGTTATCACTAAACATCAATTTGCATAGAAAGAGATAATCAGCATGGTTTACGATTGTTGGGAGGATGTGCTGATCCATGTAAAGTTCTGCAGTGCCACATCTGTAAACTGAGTCGCTAGAAGTTCCAAATAATCTTTCTATGAATTTGGAATTTTGTGGACTTTTAAAGGTCCTCACTCTTTCATGGTGTGAACCTCCAGTAGCGGAATATTGTAAGAAAATATATGCTTGGAATAACTGCAAACAATTTCTAGCGGGAAAATGCATTGCAAAGTGAGCAGTACTGGTATAAATATCTTAAAGCGCTACTTGAGTTCATCACATGTTCTTGTATTGCGCAATGTGCACTATCGTGTGTGGTACATGAGCGGAAATTACATTCTTACACTAAATTCTTTTAACAAGGTCATGTGAATCATGCTCAAGTGAAAAAGATTTTGGATTTCCCACCAAAGAATCTTTCTTGTGTCACTTTCATTTGTCTTTCAAAAGTTAGATGTTGACAATAAATTGATATTTGAAAAGGAGATGAAAGATTGTAGCATATCATTGTAATGTAGCAAGACATTTTATGTGGTTTGAAGTAATTTAGAATAGTTTGAGAAAACAGTTTGAAGTAAAAGAAAAAGTTTTGGTTTGATAGACCCTTTTGAGATGTAAGAGTGTTAAAATATCTTGGAGGATTGAGATGTACACCATGCAATAATTTTAATCTCTACTTTGGTTTGTGAAGAATCAATAATTGTACTTTAATTTTAGTCTATTGTAGTTGTTTGGAGTCTTTAATAGAAAACAAAGCTTTCATTAATTTTTTTGCAAATCATGGGACATATGTGTAAATTTCAATAGCAAATTTATTAAAAGATAAAAAAACAAATTTCTCAAGTGAACAAAGACATGAAATTTTGTCACAATCCAAGACCAACAACCTAAAAGGATTGTACATTGATAAGTATGTGATATTGCATCTATTTTTATTAACTTTGATTTTTGATTTTTGATTTCATTTTTCATCTTTGATTATTCATTAAAAGTTGGAATTTTAATTTAAAAATTATATACATAGAAGACAAGCCAATGTGGTACAATAATAAAAGATGAAGACATGATAAATTAATTTAAGTTTATGTTTGCCACAAATATCTTAAGCTCTTGGTTATTTTAAACAATTTCACATAAATAATCAACCAATTGTATGAGAATATAGAAAACAAATCAAATTTGATGTTTTTGAAAGTAGGTAATAAGAATTTAAAATAATTGTAAACAAAGGCACATAACGAGACATATTTGAATTGATTCAGAATTTGGATTGAAATGAATTTAATAAAACTTTAGAAAAATACCTTAAAAATAAACAACTTTTGTTTTTTCAACCACTGATCTGATGTTTTATTAAGAAATATATTTTAATTTACATTTTGCTGCATACAATATGAGAAGTTTGTAGAAAAAATAATAATTTTTGTTTTTTGGATTGAGAATTGTAAAATAAAAAAATATGACTTACAAATCAAAGTATTAACAATAATAATAATTAAATTCTGAAGTTTAATAAGATGACTACACAAATGCTTTAAATTAAAATAAATATGTAGCACAATATCTAAATTTATTTTAAAAATGCATTGGCAACCAAGGTGTTGCAACTCATTTTAAAAGTGATGGAATCAATTAAAACAATTTGAGGTTATATAATGGAATTGAAAATAAATAAAATTGTTAAATAAAGCTTTTAGAATGAATTATTTATTTTAGATTTTATGTGGGGTTTGTAGAAATAATATCACTTCAATATAAAATATATATATATATATATATATATATATATATATCTAATAAGAGTATATATATAATAAGAATATACAAACACCAAAGTAAAAAATAATCAAGAAAATATTTCGCCTTCTTTTTCTTTTCTTTTTTTTTTTTTTTTTTTCTCACATAGATCTAATATTTATGTAATAATCATTACAACATCAATTTTGGAAATTGCTCTACAATTGATGGTATTCAAGATATTAATGGTAGTAGTAAAAAAGACAAAGTAATTCTTTTATAGCATTGTATGAGAGCTTTATATAATGTTTGTAATACATCTTCAATATCAATAATAATAAATACATATACATATATATTATTTCATTATGTTTGTATGTATACATATTTTATAGTTTGAAATGCAGTTTAAATTTATTTCTAAATAATAAAAACATTTGATATATGTTCATCTGTATATAATCTTCTTTTTAACAATATTAAAAAATGAACATCTCTAAATCATTTAGGAAAGTCATTATAAAGTTAAATAGTATTTAAACTTCTCAAAAAAGAAATTGTTGATTGTAACCAAGTATTTAAAATATAATTAATATTTACATAATTTTCTTTGATATCAAGGTCGAATAAATGATAAACAAACTCTATGTTTACTGTTTGCTTTATCTATTTCCACATACAAAACTTCGACTGAAATCAAAAGCCATGGCTAACCCTAAACCCTAAACCTTAGCTAATTTAAATATAAGCAATATAATATAGCAATGATAATGTTTCAAATGGTGTACAATGTGACACAATTATGTACCAAGTTCACAATCAAGAATACATACATTAAAAGACTACTTACCCTGAGATTTATAAGAGATATTGTTTTGGCTTCCCTCACAGTTCAATAACCTCATAATTGCATCCTCAATTAACTCTTCAACTACATGAAGGTAATCTGATACATCTATCATTCCACTCACATGCTTCCATGTTTAAACTGCTTCCAGCATGTTGAGCGTAATGACTGGTAAGTTTAGTGAATTCGCGTAATCCAAATATTCTGCTTATTGGTCACTTTTCTCTTTAGACCAGGGAGACAACAATTTGGCAATTGGTGGCCGATCGAGAAGTAATTTCTTTCCAAGCTTCGGTGCATATTCGAAAGAGAACGCAGGTCCAAGTAACCAAGCTACAGCAGCTCCTCCAAACAATCCCCCAACCTACACAACCATTCGAAGTGCATCAACAACTACCGCGAAAAGAATTAATAGAAAAATTATGGACCAAAAGCTAATGCAGATTTCCGAACTTAAAACGCAACCTTAGATCATGTCAAACAGCTAAGATGCTCCAACTTGACCAGCCAGATTAGATTCCCTAGTCCTTTGAGAAATCGGATTACAAATCCGTGGTTTTCAGCAAAAAATAACGTGAATAACCATTTCTGTAAAGCTAACCACTGCGAAGAAAAATGACTTCTTTCTTGACGAGATAGTACTACTCGGCTCAAATTCAGAGGACTGCCTGACAGTGATCTTCTAAAAGCTTGAAATGGATTGCATCTTATAGGAGATTCGGTTATTGATACATATGCTTACATGGCCCCAATTATCAATGCCACTAGACAGTAAGCCAAATCCCTGTCAACAAAAGCCCATGTTAACATATTATGATTAGTACACTAGACAACTTTCAAGGGCCCTGATGAAAGAATTAAATTGGGAAATTCACCCATCCACGTTCTTACTAAACCTTTACTTAACATTCACTCCATCATTCAAGTTTCTTACAATGACTGAAACACGTCACCACATACGCAACCACGACTGAATCATGTTGTTCAGGTTTTACCAGGTTTATAGCGATGACACGGGCTACTTGAGCTAGACTTTGATCTCCACCAATCATGAGAGTCTTATGACGTGCTAGAAATACTGCCAATGCACCAACCTGACAAGAACCACTTCAGAGAGACAAGTTTTGCGATGTAGAAAAATGAAACTCACTAGCGCCATGCTTCAGAAAGAGGAATCGAAATGTATACATTCAGAACTGCCATGCAACTGCATCCTCCGGGAGAATTATAACTATTAAAACATCTTGCAGATGTAAAAAAGTAGTCTATTTCTGACTCTCCCAGAACGTCAATGGTTGCATGAATTTATCAGAAACATGTAAAGCATGATACTTACAAGACCAAATATTGCTCCTGATGCTCCGACCGAAGGCGCTGTACAAAGCGTGTAGCTTAACCCACTGCCTGACATTTTCAGAATTTACTCGATGCTGAATACCACGTACAAGCCCATGCTAAACTACAATTACAGAATTACATACACATGAAAGGTAGACAAAACATTCAATGTTCCAAGGATGAATGGTGAATGAGTACTTGCGATGGCGGAGACAGCATAGATTGCAAGAAATCGCTTTCCTCCACTCAGTGATTCCACTGTTGGACCTACAGAATTCAAGGAATAACAATTCACCTGCACCAACGTAAGTCACTTATTTCAACAGTCAGTTCACGCGCTAAAAATTACATATGCTAAATAAATAGGCCAACGACTAGCAACAAAGTAAACAAAAATGTAAATAAATGAAAACCAAAAAATTCTATGAGCTTGTGACCTATAAGAGCAGCGAAGGAATTATCTGAAACATAAGAGCGTTCGTGAATACCAGAAGATGCATAATGTTGGCATGAAGTACTGACGGTGTAACAAATCTCCACCATTGACCTTTATCTATCAAGCTGTTGACCTGAATTCAGCACAAAACGAAAGAGACAATGAGATTTTCACAAATCCAGGACTTGTCTATGGTGTTGATTCAAGGCACTGTTTAAGGCTCGTACAGAGCATTAGCGCTCTTCGTATTTTCTGTAAATAGGGCAGGTAATAATTGGCAATCACCTTGGCGCCTAGTAAAAGAAGTTGACCTTGAGATGCTATTTGAGCGCCAAACATTCTACAAGCCACGTTCGATCATCAGAACTTCTATACAAATTATCACCTCGTACACAGATGAGGATTGCCAAAACACAACTTCTATCTGCAGAGTTATCACGTTACAACACCACAATCTTAAACCCTAAACTATGAGTTAAACAATGGAATCCTTCATCATGCCTATCCAACGCTGTTTGTAAAGGTAAATTGTCCAAGATGCACACTCACATCGCACATCCATATTCGGAACCTGGTCACTCAGGAATAGTCAGGAAAAACGAGACAAGAAAAACCTTACAAAAGATTCACGCCAAGAATTATGTTTGTCCAATTGCGGCTCCTGGACCCGATTCCATAGCCAGTAATCGTGTTGGCAGAAGACGTATCGTTTTCATCACCCGTTGACGCTGCAGTGACAATACTCCTGCGTCTGCTTTTTCTCCTCCCTTCTACAAATTTGACTATGGTTTTCCATGGAGAATACAGCGAAATGCCTGTACCCAATAACTGTGCCCCAGTCTTGCCAAGAATTTGACGACCATGATAAACTTCTAGAGGTACTTGAAAACAGTTCTCCCCTATTACTCCAGATACCTGCTGCGGTTGTGAACTTTGACTACTATTCTCCTGAAATATAACAGGGCAGTCTTTTGGTTCACTTTCAACTAACTCAGAAGCAACGCCACAACCAGGACGATTAACTTGACATAAGCGACGGACTTTTAGACATCCTACAGGTGCACCTGTCATGTTAGCAGCTAGAGCGAGCGGAAATTGAGATATGTATGTAAATAAATCACTGGACACAACATCACAGCTAGCCATAAGAGGGATAGATGGGATTCACAACGTCAAATATTGATGGTTATCAAGAACTCACTACCCCCACCATGTTTCAACATATAGACAATTTCAGAAGTAAGAGCGAAACAAACGGGGTGTTGTACGTCAGGCGTGTGAGGTTCAATGAAGGGAGAAACGACAGCCAGGCAAAACCCTCGCACGAAATAAAGCAAGCAAGCAAGCACAGGCGGCAGGACTCACCGTCAATTGCTCGATGAAATTGGACGTAAGAGTGGTCCAGCGATGGAACTGCAAGGCGCCCACAACCAGAAATCCAAAATTGTGGGCGGAGATCGACATGGCCCTCAACTTAACATCAGTTGGAAAACGCGCACATGTGCTCGAGCTCCGAAGATCTCCCTGGGTTGGCATCATTCCAGCTAACATTGCCATCCATGCTGGGTTCTTGTGACAACCGGTCATCCGTATTGCTCCACCAAACATTTCCATTCGCAAGTTGCCGCTTGCGCAATTGAATGTATCCCTCGCAAATGAATTCTACTTGATGGCTTTGACATCAACTGATCGTCATAAGGTCCACAACGCTTGGCAGAATACCATCTTCACCACAGGCCACACCATTCGCATCCACATTGACAAATTTAACTACACGTAGTCAGCTTAAGAAATACCAAACACTTTACGAGCAACATAAAGCAAAACAATTTGAGGTCACTGAAAATTAACACACAGAAAAACGGGCCCAACCATCGGAGGTTAAAATTTCAAATTGAGCCTTCAGACTGATAATTCAAAATGTAGAAGTTTAGCTCACATTACAAAACTTAGTGCAAAGGGTAACTGCAAGCTCACATTCGCGGGGAAAGTATCGAGTTGGGATTCAAAGACTAGGGTATAAACTTTACTACAAAAGACAAAATCTCCAGTCCTAAATTTAATTTGAATGTTTCGGACTCAAGATGCAAGTTGAGAATGTAGAGAGTCACTGTATTATTAGCTTCAATCCTATTCCTTGTATGACTTGTGAATTTACGTGGTCCAAAGACTTCGTGCGAGCTTTCTGGTGATGATATTTTTTTGAAATGTTGCCCTGGAATAGGTGTCAGCATGGTAGCTAGTAACGCCTTCCATTAGTGGGAGGTCACACAAGGTTTTAGAATTTAGGGTTTACACAAGGTTAGAGTTTAGGGTGAGCATAATAGAAGAGGGAGGGGCAACAGGTGTTAAAAATATGGGAGTTCTGGAATGTATCCCAACTGGCGTAAGTTTCACTTTTTTCTTTTTCTTTTTCTTTATTATTATTATTATTAATATTGTTGAACATTAATAGCAAGAAACTATGCAAAGATGGAATCATAAATTTGCTATAGCTATCTTTGCCATACTTTTGCATTTCATTTAGTCTATCTAAGTTATTTATGTCATCTTTATCTTAGAATGGTTGTATCAATAGGGCCACTTTGTAATTGCCTCAAGATTCATCCATAGAAGATCAGTTTTGGATTTGGGTTAAGGATTTAGAGTTTTTTAGGATTTAGGGTTATAAGAATGTCCTTGGATTTTAGATCCCAATATTTTTGGATTTTGACTTGATCTATCTACTATTTGTGATATCTAGGATTTCAATGGTATAAGTAAAAATAAATAAAAAATATATATATATATATATATATATATATATAGATATTAAGTATTTGATTATTTTGACTTTTGAATTGATTTTCCATATGATTAGGAATTTTTAAATTTTCATTTGACCTACCTTCTTATTTAAAATGTTTAAAAATTTAAAGGTGGACTTAAAATCTTATACTTGTTTTTTAATTTTGATATATAAGGGATTTGACTTGATACAATTTTCTATTGATTTTTTTGTACTTAGTCTTTTTAAAGTTTTGATTTGACATACTTCTCTATTTGTGATGCTTCTAATTCTAATGGTATGTTTAAAATCTTCAATAAATTTATAGTGTAGGAGATATCAGGTTTTTAAAATAGAAAAATTTATTTTTAATCAATATATTAAAAAATTAAAAAATATATAATAAATATATAGAAAAGACAAATACTTGAATCATATTGCTCCCAATTATTGTAGAAGAATTTTTCCACTTGTACCAATGCTTATTGACTTGCTTGGATTCTTTTCTATTTCCTTGCTTGTTGAAGTTGTTACTTAGTATCCTTGCTATTCCATCCTATTGCTTATCTAGCAAACGTCAAGGCACTTTTGATTTAAATGGAAGGTCCATATGAACCTCTTTTGTGAATCTAATTTTTCCATCTTGCTAAATGATTATGATATATTTCAAAGAATCTTTATAAAAATCCTTTTTGTATATCAAAATAACTTCTTGTATCTCTTTCTATGCCACAATATTGAAAAACATCAAGATTGCCACAAACTTTACATCCATCCTGTCAAGGACAAGAACTCGATGAAAAAACAATTCAGACAAGTGAGCCTTCACTCAAAGAAAGGTAACAAAATATAAATAAACAAGTATGTATATTGAAAGAGAAACTGGAATGGCTATTGCCAAAAAGACAAAGAAACTAGAGACCCTTGAAACTAGACTGGAAGCAAGAAAGGAGTTGACAAGAGTGAAGAAGCCTTCACTCTTGTCTTTATATATACTATCTAACTAGGGGCTAAGTGGCGATGTTTTATAGGACCTCCAATATGTGTTGACTTTGTAGAACACATGCCTTGACTTACAAGGCAAGTTTTTCTACGTGTGGGCCACATAGTTAGCTTGATCTTCAAGCTAACAACATGTGTGGCACATGGCCAACTTGTTGACCACGTTTCTAATCCAAAAAGTCAATTAAAGACACCTATGAATTCAAAGCACCGTCTATGAAGCTTCTAGGAAGCTTCCATATTAAATACTATAGAATTAACTTACTTTTACTTACTTTTACTTACTTCTACCTATTTATATATATAATTACTAGTTTACATGATTATGTCTATGACATTACGCCCCCTTCTAGGAACGAGTTCCACGAGGAGGAGTCATCATATGTTGAGAAAATCTATGATGCGACGAATTGTATTCGCCACATACTCTGATCTTTGTTCTCTTCGAAGATGTTTGATAGGGCCTCTCAACCATTGGTAGTGTCCCATATCAGGGCGAAAAGACCACTCAGTTATTTGATCATTGTTGAGGCCTTCGTAACTTCCTTCGAATAGAATATTTGGAACACCATCAGAAGTTGTTCCTATCTCTAGCACAATCACCAAACATCGGGAGTCCCTTCCCAAATCGTGATACCAAACGTGTTGTATCTCGCCATCTATTCGAGGAAGAACATGTCGTTCTTGAAGATCTTCATCTCGATTGCGTCGTCTTGAAGGTTGTGACAATCGTAATGTCTCGTCTGGCAGATCATCAAATGAAGGCTCTTGAGTCGAATCTGCTGGTTGTTGGTTCTCCATCTCCTGAGCGTCACTACTACAACGAAGCTACGAACAAGAATTGAAAGTAGAATGTTATCTTGCCTAGATGTTGTTTCTTTTATAAAGAAGATTTTCATCTTGATTTTGATGGATGTCGTCGATGAAAAGCCTCTATCACCTTTGCTGCATTTGTAAGATTCTTTATTGGCTCCCATGTGCATTCACTAATACCATATCCGTACCAATGGACAAGATATTCTAATTTATTTCGGCGTCGCCTTGAATCTAAGACTTCTTCTACTTCAAACTCTTCATTATTGTCCACTTCTATAGGAGGAGGTGGAGCTTGTCGTCTTCTTCGTATGTCCACTGTCTTGTATGGTTCAAGAAGAAACACATGAAATACTGGATGGATTTTCATTGACTCTAGTAGATGTAAACGATATGCAACTGGATTGATTTGTGCAGAAATAGAAAATGGTCCTAGCCTTTGATAGTCCAACTTGTCACAAGGATGAGTGGTCTTGATATTACGACGAAGTAGCCATACCTTATCACCCAAGACAAATGATGGTTGTTCCTTTCAATAGACATCCGCATTGACCTTTTGTTGTTCTTGAGCTTCTTTTAACTACGCCTTCATCGTTGCATGTAGCTCTGATAAATGAATTGCTAAATCTTTCGTAGTAGGATTATCAAATTTTAAAAAGTCAAAAGTATCAAGTCGTGGATGATAACCATAATTAGCAAAGAAAGGTGTTTATTTTGTAGAAGGATGTACCGTGTTATTGTAAGCAAACTCTGCCAATGGCAAAAGAGTTGTCCAGTCATCTTATTGATAATTAATGGTACATCTTAAATATTACTCCAAAACTTGATTAACACGCTCCGTTTGTCCATCAGTTTGAGGATGGAATGCCGAAGATAATTTTATATCCACTTTAAGAATCTTAAAAAGAGTCTACCAAAATCTTGATACAAATTGTGTTCTCCTATGTGATATAATATCCTTGGGTAATCCATGATAGCGATAGATATTGTCAAGAAAGAGTTTAGCTATTTCTTCACCTCTGATAGATTTTGTACATGGTACAAAATGTACCATCTTGGTAAAATGATCTACTATCACGAATATAGAGTCATAAGAACCTGAGATTGGAAGATCCGTGATGAAGTCCATAGAAACAGAAGACCATGGTTGTTCTGGAATGGATAATGGCTGAAGAAGTCCAAAAGGTCGATGACGAGGAGTTTTCGATCTTAAGCAAACATCACATGATTGTACAAAGTCTTTAATTACCTTCCACATTTGAGGCCACCAAAAATCCCTAGATATCAGCTCTAAAGTCTTATTATATCCAAAATGTCCTGCTGTTGGAAAGTCGTGATGAGCTTGAAGAACATGTAAACGTGCTTCTCCTTCTAGAACATATAGGCGTCCTTCGAAATAGAGTAGGTTGTTCTTGAATTCAAATTTAGAGGGATCGTGAGATTTAGAAGAATTATTCTTGATATCACGAACAAGAGGGTCTATAGACATACTTAACTAGACTTGCTTAAGAAAAGTTAAATCAACAGTCAATGTTGATTTTATTGCTCGAAGATGAAATTACTTTGGCTTCAAGAGAACCGTTCTTTGTTGCTCAAAAGCTGCATCTCCTTCTTTTGGTGCAAGATAAGAACATCTAGATAAGGCATTGGACAAACCTTGTTGTTTTCCTGGCCGATAAGTGATGATGAACTCGAATCTTGATAAAGACATGCTCCAACGAGATTGACGACGATTTAATATGGGTATTGATAGAAAATACTCGAGGTTCTTGTGATCCATATATACGGTGACTGGACTGGAAGAGCCTTCTAGATAATGATGCCATTCTTGAAAAGAATCCATGATTGCAAGAAGTTCTTTGTCCTGGATCTCATAATTGATTTCTGCTGCTGAAAATTTTCTTGAATGAAAGGCTACTGGATGAAGTTTGTCATCTGTTCCCATTTGTGATAAAACCGCACTCAGAGCAAAGTCCGATGCATCTGTTTCCATAAAGAATGCTTTAGAAAAATCAACACAATACAAGATTGGTGCAGAAACAAACGCTGTCTTCAAAGATTCAAAAGCAACTTCCGCTTCTTGATTCCATTGGAGTTTGTCTTTACAAGTCAAACGTGTAAATGGAGCTGCAACTCGAGAAAAATCTTTGATGAAGATCCGATAATAGTTGGCAAATCCCAAAAAATATTGGACATCTCTTACTGTTTTTGGGATCTTTCAGTCTATAATAGTTTGAACTTTCTTAGGATCCATCATAAGTCCATCATTTGAAATGATGTAACCTAAGAAATCGACTTGCGTAGTGTGGAATACACACTTTTCTATCTTGGCATAGAATCCTGCATCTCTTAATTTTTGTAACACGCTACGAACATGAAGTTCATGTTCTTTTAGATTCTTAGAATAGATCAAGATGTCGTCTAGATAACAAACCACAAAATCGTCGAAAAACTCTCGAAAAACATCATTCATTAGATGTTGAAAAGCTGCTTGTACATTTGT